AGACTTTTGTTTTTCTTGGACAGCAACTTCCAGAATTCTTCAGGAATTCTTCCTGGCAGAATCCGAGGAGACGCAGTCCAAAAACAGTAGTTTAAAGAGGGTGTGTTTTTTCCACATCCATGTGTCACTCCATCAGGGCACATAGCATGAGTTGTTCTTTGAGAACCTACTTGGCGGTGCAACTACCTCTCCCATGATGTCTTGAGACTCCCATGAGCCTTTGACACTTCCAGGCACCATCATGAGCGGTTTCCTTCTCCTTGTATGTCCAATATAATGGCAATGGAGGCCCACACAAAAGTGAGGAAGCGTCCTCTTTAAGCTACTGTTTTCAGGATTCTACGTGGGGGAATTCCTGGCAAATTCTGGGAGCTGCCGTCCAAAAGGAACAAAACACCCATCCCTAGTGAGTGGCAACTCCTTAATTAGTCACAATTCACATCTGCAATGTATACAACTACCCTTACATTGGCAGAAAGTCTCCAACAAGATTTTAGCCTTTTTAACTGACTTCTCCTTACCCAACTTGTGAACAGATGTTTTGGCCTAAAATTCCTATTTGCTCCAGATACATGGCTAGTATGCAAGGCAATGGGGATGGTGGTCCAAAGCATCTGAAGAACTTTGCGTTGTTAGGAATATCTCCTTATTGAAACATAATACAATGATCAGCATCAGTTTAACAGTTTGTCAGGGCTATGCTGGATGTTCTCGAGCATTTCCACTCTGTCCTGACCACTGGCTAAAGCTCTATTTTCTTTTCCTCTTGTGTGGTTCCATTGAGAAGCAGGGAGATAAACTTGTAGGGTTTGTTTTATTTATGTTTGTTTACTGACTGTGGGGATGGGTGGGAAGTGGGTGTACTTTCTGTCCTTCCTAGACCTCCTGGTTTCTCTGTACTCTGGCCGGGAACGGCTGTGGTGTAGGGGATGGCATCTAGTTAAGCTGCCAGATAAACACGTCAAGAACTTAAGAGGCTATACTTTGGTGTGACATACACAGAACTGAGCTTGCAACTTAGCAGAGGTGAATTCTTGTTTTTCCCCCATGTCCTGCCCTAAAAAGAAAGAGGAAGCCCCAACAATTAAAGAAGCCGAATCAAAGAACAAAGCTGGGACAAAAGAATATCCCTGGAACAGTCCTGATGAAAAACGGAGAGCACTTTCTTCTTTTTCACGGATCCCTGAAACTGTTCAAATATGGGAGCATTGCTCAATAGGGAAGATAAATGGAGATGGGAAAGACCCTGACTCATAAAGACCTAGCCAGAGATCAAGCATGGATATCAGAAATAAGGAGATGAAGAGTGGTACCCAGTGCTGGGAGAACAGGGATACTGGGATGGCTATTTTCTCCAAATCAGCATTGCTCCCCCTCCCCATATTCCCATTCATCAAACATTGTTTTGGCATAAACTTTCAGAAAAAACCATTCCATTGTGTTAAGACAGGGAAGGAATAAGAAATAATTCCACCCTATGGCACAGTAGTTATACTGCAGTACTCCAGTCAAGACTCTGCTCTTGACCTGAGTTTGATCCCAATGGGGTCAGGTAGCTGGCTCAAAGTTGATGCAGCCTTCCAGCCTTCTAAAGTCAGTAAAATGGGGGTTTGCTGGGGGCATCTTGTTTGCATAATTATGTTGTAAATGACCTAAAGAATGCTCTAAGCGCTATGGGACAGTGTGGAAGTCAGAAAAACCACCACCACAAGCTGCTTCCCTGATTCTTCCATAGCACACTAGTTGATGGGGACCTGTTTAAGGGCCAACTATGCATGGGGTTACCCACATAAATTACCATCTTGCACTATAATGGGACTTTGTGATCTCTCAGATTACATTATTTAGTGCACCACTGAAGATGAAGGACAGCCAAGCAGGATGTCAGCCAGCTCAGGAACATTTTCCACAGCTCGGCCCCATAGCATTTTTTCCTTATTCCATTCCTATTCTGCACCACTCATTCAAATAAAAACAAATGATGATGGTCCACCTGATTTGGAATGCAAAGCGAAAAACACAGGCACATGTCATACACTTACACAAACGCGGATCCTTCAAATTTCATTGAAATTGGAATAAGACCACTTAAATGGCCAAAGCTAGGTTGTTGTGGATTGATTTTGGGGACCTGAATTTAAAAAAAATATCTTTGAATTAAAACTAAATCGCCATGATGCTAATCAGCAAATCAACTGAAAGACCACTGGAAGCTTTAACAATAGCAGATGTGACTACAAGTGCTAATGTTAATACTAATGTTTGTGGGGTTTAATTTTATTTTGCTGTTAAGTACACCTTGCGTAATCCCCAAACCAATATGGTCATGCTAGCAGGAGATGCCAAGAATTTTGATACAGAGTTACTTTTCCCAAGCTCTGATAATGGCAGCAGTGGCAATGGCAATCACTGCTAGATTTTAAAGAAGTAGTTCTTGGGAGAAAGGGCAGCCATGTTAAGCAGAACGGGAAAGCTTTAATTTAATCCATAGGCTGTCGTTACTAGGAGGGTGATGGGATCTGCTCTGAAACAGCCTGCCCAACCTCTTAGAAATATCAAGACATTTGCATGGTTATTGATCAAACAGAACCGCAGGATTTCCGAAAGTCACCTTGTTATAAATGATCCCCCACTCATATACCATTTGTTTAAACCACCATTTGGAGGTCAGGATGGTGTTTGTACAAGAGTAATGAGTTGTGAGTAATGGCTTTCCTTGCGGTAGACTGTGTGTTTTGTTTTAAAGCAGGCAATAACTATTTAGATTGGGATTTTCAAAGGCACGGCAGTGGCTTAGGAGTCCATCTCTCACTGAAAAACTCAATTACCGATCTTCTTGTAGGTCACCGAGAGAGACTTGGAGGTCACCGATACAAGGATGTGTATCAACTACTGAATTCACATGGACATTCCAAATCTTTAAGCTGGAAATATGCCCGGTTAGGGAATTCATAGGCAGATATGGTGTAATAGTTATTATTCACCACCTTGCATAATATGGAAAGGTAACCTACTTTTTAAAAAAAGTTCAGTGTTGACCATCATAACTGTGGTAAATATTTTTGTCCTCCGAAGGATCTGTTCAAATAGGACATGTAAAACATTTATATTAGAAATGCTCTGTACACATGCATGGTCTGCATATCAGTTAAAGATATATTTAATACAATGGATTTTGCAAAGCTGTTAAATCCTTTGTGGTTTTTAAGGAACTGGAGAGAAAGGTGTTAATTAAAGAATCAAGTGAAATTAACGAGAGTCATTTTGATTATGTCAAGCTACCTGCACTAGGTACCTAGGTACATATGGTTGAGAAACATCAGGAAGGCATGTTTTTCATAAAGTATTGCTGGACTAAATTGCTGAAGATTGTTTACCATGTGCAAATAAAAGAACTAGAGTAAGAAAATATAAATATTTGCTGGAAAAGTACTGTACATTTATATTACAGTGGTGCCTCGCAAGACGATTGCCTCACCGGACGAAAAACTCGCTAGACAAAAGGGTCCGGCAACGTTTTTGGTGCCTCGCAAGATGATTATGGCCATTTTTCGCATGACGAGTGCACTTGCAGAGGCTAGCCCAGCACCATTTTTGAAGAAGCGCCCCTTTCTCCTGCCTTCAGCAAGCCTCTGAACGGAAAAAGGGGGGGGGAACAAAGCCTTTTTCCATTCAGAGCCTTACTGAAGGCAGGGAGAAAGGGGAAAGGGCGCGATCTTCAAAAATGGTGCTGGACAAGCCTCTGCAAGCGCCGCTCGGAGTGACCCCGTCACTTCCCTTGCACCATCGGAAGACTGGTGGGGGGTCCCTCCGGGCGAGCGGCGCTTGCAGAGGCTTGTCCAGCACCATTTTTGAAGAGTGTGCCCTTTCCCCCTGCCTTCAGTAAGGCTCAGAATGGAAAAAAAGGCTTTCTTTTTTCCCCCTTTTCCCGTTCAGAGCCTTATTGAAGGCAGGGGGAAAGGGCGTGATCTTCAAAAATGGTGCTGGACAAACCTCTGCAAGAGCTGCTTGCCGCTCGGAAGGACCCCCGCCAGTCTTCCGATGGTGCAAGGGAAGCCCCGGGGGACCTCCTAAGGCAGCGATCCAGACGAGGGGGCCCCCTCCAGTCCTCTGATGGTGCTTCTCCAGCTCCCTAACTGGTAAATGACTTTTTTTTTTTAAAAAAAAAATTCCCATAGGAACACATTAATTAAGTTTCAATGCATTCCTATGGGAAACTGCAGCTTGGCAGACGACAATATCGCAAGACAACATTAACCCCGGAACGGATTAATTTCGTCTTGTGAGGCACCACTCTATACCTCAAGGACAAGGATTTTGAGGCCCTTCAGATATTTTTTGCACTCCAGTAACCATCAGCCCTAGCACCTAAAAGGAGGAAAGGAGAGCTTCAGCTGGCACCAATGGAGGCTCCCCCTGCCATTGTTTTTGCCCCTGCACATGAGGTAGGCAGCCTCATGGTGCAGTGGTTAAACTGCAGTATTGCATTCAAAACTCTGCTCACGATCTATGTTCAGTCCCAACAGATTCAGGTAGCCGGCTCAAGGGGGATTCAACTTTCCATCCTTCTGAGGTCAGTAAACTGAATACCCAGCGCAACAGGGTGGGGGAGCGAATGTGTAGCCTGCATGATTAAATTGTAAACACACGTGCTATGAGGTGGCAAATAAGCAGCATGCTTCGGTTTGTTTTTAGGCACCCAAATGGCTGGTGGAGAAAGATTTAAACCTCTCCTACTCCTATGCAGCTGTTGCAAACTAGAGTAGGTCCTCAAGCACATACTTGAAAGGAAAAAAGAAATGCAAACTGAGTGAACACTACATATTTAATATCACACAGTTAATCCTAAAGGTATACGCTTTGTCTATAGGAACTCCTAAGTTTGTTAGTTAGCAGTGACCAGAAATCTGTCTCTTTTCCTTAGAGACCCACTCCCAATTAAATCAAAACTTGGAAATATTACTCTTTTTTTATTGCATCTCCCAGAATCTCTTCACCTGCTTGATAACTGTCTTGGTATGTTGTCTGGGGAATTCCTGGAGCTATAGTTTAAAAAGAAGAAGAAGAAGAAGAAGAAGAAGAAGAAGAAGAAGAAGAAGAAGAAGAAGAAGAAGAAGAAGAAGAAGAAGAAGAAGAAGAAGAAGAAGAAGAAGAGAGGAACTTTTTCAAACTTGGATAGATTGGGCACTGCAGGACTAATCAAAACACTTTGGAACTGAGAGCAGGCCTGCAAAAGCAGGGTTTTCCTGCTGCTGGCAATGACAGTGTAAAGAGCTATACTGGCAATGGAAGCCCATAACTATGTACAAGAAGCGAGCAGCACTGCAGCATAAAGCCTACAATAATTGGAAGCAATTACTGTATTTCCCAAGGCTTGCACATGTAACTATCAACCAAAGCATTACCACAGAAAACCTTTATATAGGATTTAGAGCAACAACTGCACACAAGACATTGAGCCACATATTTTGCGAAATTCTGCTGCCTCTAAGCTGCTGAAAGAATGAATGTAGGTTATAAATTGCTAATGGGCATTTCTCTTACATGAACCAGAAGGTCTCATAAGAGGTGCTGAAGAGGATATTACTGAATTCACGAACGCAGATCTCTAAAGCATTATAAACCATACCAGGAACATACGATAGGAACCCACATTTCCCACTGCACTTGCACATACATTATAAATTGAAGGAATTACAAGCTGGTCCATGAGTTGTCTTAGAAATGTGCAGGCAAAGACCCTTCTGCCAAGAAGATGGCAAAGTTAACTAAAATACAACTAATTCCAGTCCTTCAAAGTAGCATGGACAATCTGTTGGAATGTAGATCACCCAAACAAAGGCATGGGGAATGTTGCCCATCAGCCAGTCCTCATCCTAATTACTTTTTTAAAGTAATCTTGTCTTTGTGTGTGAGAGAGAGGGGGGGGGGAGAGAGAAATACAGTATTGGGTTTTTTCCAAGCACAGGAAAAAGAAGAGGAGGAGGAGGAGGAGAAAAAGAAACAAGTGGAAGGAAACAAAGCTGATTCACGAGGACATTAGTAAGAAAAGAGCAATAACAATATTTTAAAGTAAGTTAAGCAGTCCAAATGTTCCCCCAAAGAAATGCCCATATGGAATCGAAGGTAAAGAATATGGAATCAGAGCAGAGAGGTCTTCTGACCACTGAATCACAGAATGAATCAGTCTTTCTGTACTTTTGTCTGGTGAGTGGTGCTACAGCTCTTGAAAGCTGATGCCATATTAAATTTGTTAGAGTTTAAGGAGTCACAGGATTCTCTGTTGGTTTTGCTGTGTTAGATTAAGACAGTGATCTTTCTAGAACTGTTTATGTATTCAATATGCAATTGATTGTGTAGTGACCGTCTCCCCACTCCATTCCTCTTTCTCCTCATAAAAAATCTTACATGCTGTAGAAAATAGGCCAATGAGATGGCAAAACCTGGAGTTCTCCATAATTTGAACATTTCTTAGAGACCATTTAAGATAATTGTTTACAACAAGCCTTTCAAAATTCTGCACTGTGTTTGTGGGCCAGCTTTATTCTTTGCTCCCAAATGATTTTCTTCTCCTCCCACTTCAACATGCTCCCAAAATGCAACAACAGCAGCTATACTGACCTCATGGACATCATTTTGTTTGCTTATGAGGCAGCCACCAAACGCATGTGGGCAAAATTTTGGAAATACTGTTGCAACGTGGCGTTCTATTTCTTGTGGAGTGAAGCACAGAAAATCCCAAAAAGTTTGTCAGAAAAAAATGTCTCATGAGAAAGATTGTCTCAGAACTTGTCATTCTTCAAGATTCAACACTCTCCCTAATGTCTTGTTTTTCTGAGCACATTGCCCCTACATTTTGTTTCCGCTTTAGAGGTTCATCGTATACCTTCCTTCCCTGCAAATTCCTGAAATGGGTATGAGGCAGGGCAGTGTTGTGCCAGTCACCAGGGAAGAAGCGCTACTACATAATTTGTCCTCTCAATTCCCCAAAAGTTTTATTTTCCCATAAAAGAGGCTTCCATGTTATTGCCCCATTCTCAGAGTCCTTTGGATCTGTTGAGCTTACCATAAAATTGTAAGGTAATCAAACATGTGGCGCTTGTTTGTAATTTCTGCCAAACCTCTCATCAGTACTCTTCCGTGTTCCCAGATGTCCATGGTTTGTGATCTGAAAAATTCATTCATTCATTCATTCATTCATTCATTCATTCATTCAATTTATACCCCACCCATCTAGACTGAAGTCTACTCTGGGCAGCTAACAATAATACATAAAAGTAAAAAAAATATAGTAATAAAATAAAATAAAGACAACAGTAATAATATAATTCAATATGGCAAAAGTAATCAGGTGATGACAGGAGGGAAAGCCTGTCTAAAAAGCCAGGTCTTAAGTTTGCTCTTAAAAACACCCAGCGAGGAAGCCAGGCAAATCTCTGCGGCCAGACTGTTCCAGAGGTGAGGGGCCACTGCTGAGAAGGCCCAGTTTCTTGTTCTTTCTCTTTACCTCATGATCTCTTCCTCTTGGCTATGCTGGAAGCTGGACAGAGTCACAGGGGGTTGGGGTCGGAGAGAGTGAGAGATTGATTTGTCGCAGAAAAGACTATACCACGAAAAACAAAATCCACACACACTTGTCACCAGCCATCTCATAACTTAGGGAAGCACCAGAATACTGACCTTCGCCCTGAGAGTTACTCCAAAATGTTGTCTTTTTTTGAAATTCTTTTTTAGTGGAGCACCTTTTCTCACAAATTGTTTGGGAACGTTTGAAGTTCTCATGGGAGAGATCACTGGCACAATATTACTGGACAGCATGCTATTCCATGCCTCAGCTGTGACATCAGCAATTTCCCACAGTCGGTGCTTCTGCATTCCAAACATTCTGTTGAGTCAGCATTCTGTTCTGCCCACATTCTCTCTGTTTCGGTGCCGCAGAAGAAAGGCCAGTCCTGCCATGAAGCAGGATGAAGCCGCCCTCATAGCCAGTGGATGAGACGTGCAGTTAAAGGGTGCTAAATTATTGATTACTATGTGATTATTCTGATTATTTTATTTTTACTGCCAGGAAGTAGAGGAACTTGTGTAAGTGTGATGTGTGGTTGTATATGTGGGTGGGTGCGTTGTTTTTGTTTTACCTCCATTGCGACAATAACTTGGTCAGTAATGTGCATCTTGAATCAGAGGAGTGTGCCACCTGCTGTCCTGCCTCTAATTGATAGCCCACGAAATGGCCAAAGTCATCAGGGGAGTCTTAAAAACATATGGCAAGGGCCGTATGGCCTGCAGAGTTGAAGATGAGACCAAAACATCTCTCTGAGGGACTGGGACCTGGGACCTCTGGGGAGACCACGGCTCATGTGTTGCCCCATCTAAACAATACAACTGAAACAGGACTATCCAAGAAGATTGTAATTTGGTGCTTTTGGTGTCACCTGAAGGAGATTTTCTTGGTTAATCATCACTATGTCCTCTACCTAAGAAGCCAGAAAGCCAGGCAGCTTCCCGTTCATGGTTTGAGGTTATTTGACACACACATTCCTTTGAAGCTGAAATGAAATAATGTTGTCCATACAGTTGATGAATTTCAATCTAGGATTGGAAGCAGGGATCAGCTGGGATTGAAACACTAGTGCAATGGATAAAAATCCTTCACTGGATAAGGCACCTTTAAAACAAAGGAAGGAACACTTTTGAAACAGAAAATGGCAAATGTGCCACGCAGGGTCAATAGTGATATGATACCTACTCTCCATTTTCTGGAAATCCCGGTGTTTATACCAGAACTACTGAATAAATTTTACTACACAAAATTTGCAACAGCAACATTAAGCTGTCATTGTGTGGGGTTTAATAGTAATGAATTAATTCTGAAATCTAATGTTCCAAACGCTTCCAACAGTTACAAAGTCATGAGGAGTTGTGCTGTTCAGTCTTTATTCCAACTGTAGATGGCACTATGTAGCAGCCAGGTATTCTGCTGTTGTACTCTGTGTGTGTGTGTCTCTGTGTGTGTGTGTGTGTGTGTTTGCATGCCCACGGTGTGTATGTGTTGAGGGGGGGGATGCAATAAAGCTGGTACTCTACTGTCTATCCATTTTGGTCCAGGTCTTTCTCTGAAACAAAAGGAATCAATTACAAATGACTTGTTATTTGTAGTTAATTACTTCTGAGTACAGCACCAGAAATAAGGTAGGAGATCAACTGTTCAATCTCAAATGGGAAACAGCAAATCTTTCACCTTGAACAGATAAGTTATGGTTGCGTACTTTTAAAAGAAACCCCTTTCCTCTTAAGCATAGAGACACCAGAGAATGTATCGGTGAACAAATAATAATGGGAATATGAAAGATAAACTATACATATATTATAGGTAGCTCATTATTAGAGATGAAATTATCTTAGTGTTCAGAGACATGATTTAGGCATTTTTTGTGTTTGAGAAATCGAACTTGTGAACAAAGAACATGTTTTTAATGTCCTGAAGACCAATCACAAAACAAAACAAAACAAAAAAAGCCAGGTAGATCATAGGAGATAAGATATGTTCCTACTGTGACAGTAACAAGAGAATCTGCACTCAGTGAATCCTGTCTTCCAAAGAAGGGTTATATATAACATAGAATCATACCTAAGACAGACACTGTTCTCCTCTCAACACCATAGCCCTCAGTCTTGCATTTTACTCAAGACCAAACTGCATATTATGTGAACGACATTTAGCTTTCTATTGAGTTTAAGAAAAAAAAAGTAGAAGGAGACAAAATGTGGGTAGAAAAAAGTACTTAACTTCTGGCAATTTTTCCTTTTAAAATCACTTCTGTCAGGTTGTCTATCTCCTCAAAGGTGAACAAGTTCAGAAATATGGATCTTTTCTTTTGTGAAGGAAAAAGCAAGTGGCCAAAAGTGACTGGAAAAGTCACACAGAATGCTTTGCAGTGTGCATTCCCCCCCCTCCCCGCCGCCGCCTCAGCACCTCTCCCCCTGCCTATGTAGCTGTGGGCCACATTTTATCTGCGCAGCTCCCTGTTCTTCAGCACACCTTTGATGAAGGTAATGGCGCGTTGCCATACCGTCCGCCTACAGCTGATGCCATATGATTATGGCTTTCAATGAAAGACAAGAGAATAATTTTCATGCCCTCCGGCTTTTCATAAAGGAATGTAATTGAAGTAATCTTACAAAGTATGCACACCCAACTCCTCTGTCTCCTCATAACCTTGGCTGCTAGGAATGCATTCGGGCAAGGTGGAAAAGTTTGCTGACTTCGGCCATAGAGCTACTTCCATGACATCCTCCACTTGTGACTGACTCAAGAAGTCACTCTGACCAAAGGAAACTTGTCTTTGGACAAGACATACCCCTATGGATAATGGGTGGAGGGGGCTTGTATGTATATGTTGCCTCTTGGGCAATGGTTGCCATATCAACATCCAATAAACAATGCAGATGAAGACAGGCGTTCCCCATCAGCATCAGCACCATGGAGCTCCAGAAAGAAGTCAGAGATTTGTGCTTCCAGGTCAGCATTCTTTTACTGGCAAAGGGGACTGCTTCCTCAGTGAAAGAAATCTGCCCACAGGTGAAATGTTGCAGAGGGAAAACTGAGGTGGGAACATGTCCTTACACCTCATCAATTCCCCTCTGTGGCCCTTTAAACAGCAAGGCAAGGCCCACCTTTCCCGCTTATGTCCTCTACCAGCCATACTCCCCCACAAGAGCTTCCAAGAATGCAACTGGCAGCTCAAAGACTTTTTCTTCCTCTCTCACCCCAGGCCTGGTTTATTTATTTGTATTTATTTATTACTGCAATTTATATACTGCCCCATTAGTGCCGAAGCGCTATTCTGAACGGTTTACAAAGGATTAAAAAGAAAACTATGCAACAGAACACCAAAAATATAAAACAAAAAGCAATAGTGTGGCAAGAGCATTTAAAAAGATCCAGTGACACCAATAAACTGTCACAGAAAGCAGAACTGGAGGTGAAACGCTCAACTGGGGTCAGATTGGAAGTTCTCCCTGTACACAAGTGTTTTCAGCTGTCTCTTGCCACCACACAGAAGGCCCAACCTCTGGTAGATAACCTTCAGGCCTCTTTCAGGGAGGCTGCCCTGGGGGAGCCTGGCCTGAAACAATCTGGTGGGTCAAGCAGATGACATTGGGAAAAGATGCACCAACAAGTAATGTGGTCCCAAACTTCAGGGTTTTATAGGTGAGTGCCAAAACCTTGAACCTCATCCGGAACACAACAGTGTAACCAGTGGAGACTGGCCAGAAGTGGAGTGATGCCATCAAATTTACTCACATCAACCATCAGTCTGGCCACCATGTTCTGGACCAGCTGTCTTCACCGGGTCAGCCTCAAGGGAAGCCCCACATAGAGAGCATTGTAATAGTCGACTCAGGACATCGCCAGTGCCTGCACCAGCATCCTGATTTAGGTCTGAAAGAGCCCGCCCCCCCTGAACACTCACCCAAGTCAGAAATGACCCAGTAGTTTCTGCTTTTCAACCAAGAGGCAGGGATAGCCTGCCAATATCAGGCGTATGCTCCCCCAGCCCCTCAGCGGCTGCCAACCCGTGCAGGTTGGAGTGAGGCAACCCTCTCCGAAGGCAGTGGCAGTCCCGCCGTTGTTTTTCTGGTTGTTCCCCTGTCTTGAGGGACAAAGATGTTTTTTTTCCTACAGCTGGCTCTGCACTCCTTCAATCAGTCTAGTGTGCTCAGGTGTGGTGGAGGGCGCTCTCCCATTATCAGTGCTGCAGTTTTGGATGCTAGTCTGGTCAGCTCCTATCGATGCCCGGCAGGAGGCATCACCCTGACCCTTCCTTCCCTCAGGAAGCAAAATGTCTTGGGCCAGCCCTAATGGAAAGATTCAGAAATGGGGCTGCTTAGATATTCATTTGGAGAGGGCAAAAACAAGCACAGGAAACCCATTCCTCAGATCCAAACGTCAGCCCTAACTAGAGCAGACCAACTGAATCACTTGAAGTTATGTAAGTGACATACCAAATTCCAACTAATTCCCTGGATCTACTCTGGTGGGGACGAAGAGCTGGATTTGGGCCAAAATGGCAGCCACTACTTTAGGACGATACCCCCCCCATGCGTCAATTCCCACAGGAAACCAAAGGATGTTCTGTATTGATATAGCACTCTGCGCGGGGTGCAGAGAGACATTAATCACTGCGAGTAATTTAGCAGAGGTGCTAATTAATTCCAGCTCTGCAGAGTCTTACTGCTCCTGTTTCTTCAGTTGTGTTCCTTTCAGACTAGTAACCACACAGTAATCCTGAGGTGCAGAGTTCATTCAGTGGATGAGGGGATTGTAAATAAAGGCTGGCAAATGTATTGCATCACACAGAAGGCGTCTTTAATCTTTCCTTCTGCATATGAAGCAAAGCCACACGTTGCACATTGAGAGTTTTTTGGGGAAGTACTCGGAAACATTATCTGTAGCAGCTGTTAGATTTCTTTTCAAGGGTCAGCTTGAAATTCAGCAGGTCATATCAAATAGCTAAAATGCAAGTACTAAATATGTGTAACATGGAGAGATAGAAACAACATGGAGAGAGACAGTTCGGGCACTCAGGCTCAAAAAAGGTTCGCCATCACTGCTTTAGGCAGTGTCTAGGGTAAAACACAAAAGAGCCTCTATCTTTACACAAAAAAGACCACCTTTTCAAGCTGTCTTCATTACCTCTTGGTTTAAAATCTTTTAATAGAAGAGCCCCGCAGTGCAGTGGTTAAACCGCTGTACTGCAGCTAAAACTGTGCTCACGACCTGGGGTTCAAATCCCAGGTAGCCGGCTCAAGGTTGAC